TCGATCCAATGAGAACAGTCCATTTCATGAGGTGTTTTCACTGCAAAAGCTCTCTGACTTGGTAACTAGCAAAATCTGGGGATTTGAGGTGTGTATCTCTGCTGATACAAGTAATTGGCAAAGGTGGGGGATATTACTTTAAAGAGACTGGCTCATTTGAAAGCATTTAAGATACAGAATGAAGCTTATATAAATGAATCAACTTATATAAAATGAATCAACAAGAGTCTGTATTCAAATGTGCTGCCCTAGTACAGATTAAACTGGATTTTAGCTCCTCTGGAATCTGAACCAACTCCCTTCAGAGTCCGGGGGGGAAAGACAAAAGGGATGTGATTGTGTCTTTTCCTTGTATGGTTGTTGGCAGGGGATGTTTTTATTTCCCCTACATCAGGTGAAAATTGTGCTCTTTCAGTCTAGGTGATGTCCAATACAGAGGAAGGGTGAAAAGAAACTGCATTTGCTGCACAGTGCCCAAGATAACTCTTTTTTAAAGACCCTTCTGCTTGGGTCCTGCAGTGGGGTCTGCTCTGAGCAGGTTGATATTTACTCTCCAAAAATATAACCCTGACCAAGCACCCAAAGCTGACTGGTTGGTTTTGACATAGGCTTCAAAATGAGTACAACATTTGAATTCAAACCCAGAACCTAGTCCAAGCTCTGAGGTTTTATGCAGCACCTCACCCAATGAAATTGCCTTCCTCCCCCACACACACACATCCCGTTTCAATTAGAAAGAACATTAGGTCAATCAGATAAAGCCACATTGGGAGGATTTCCTCTTTATGGCGCTTGCCTCTTCAATTATCTATAATGAACTTCCTCACAGCACTGCAAAGCTTTTTATATGCAAACGAATCCTGGTTTGGGGCTGCTGCAATCATGGTTTGTTAATGAACTTGAAACAAGTGTTATCGGAAAGGTTACAGCACCAGTGGTGGTGGGGGAGGGCAGGATAAAGCCAGACAAGAAAGACCAGCCTGCAGAGCTGGGATTGGCCTGCAGGTAACACAGGGACTATCTCCAACCCCCATCCTTCAAACCCCTTCGGAGGCTTTTGTGTTTGACAGACATCAAGCAAAATGCCCACTCTTGGGAAAAGGCTGCTCAGCTGCAGATAGGACCTTCCTATCCTTCTGTCCTACTGATTTACTCTGCCAACACATCTCTGTCTCAATTCCTCTAGCTGGGGAGGGGAAAAAAAAATAATAATTAAGATGTTGCCAAGGTCTTTTCTTATGCCAGGAGAGAGAGAAGGAGCTGATTCAGAGGCCTCAGACCATGTTGGGCAGGTGAAAGGGAGGGTTCAGGGGGTGTTGAAAGCTTGTAGTCCCAAATGGTATTTACACACAGTATCACTGGAGTGATCAGAACTGGAAGCTTTCACTCATGTTTTAACATAGGCTGAACCACCTTCTTCTCCTGCCATTCACATTTATGTAGGTCTAAGTCATCCAGTCTTCAATGATGCCTCACTTTCTCATGCTGATATCTACTTAGTGCTGCAGTCTTCATGCTGGGGTGCTTCATAGGGTAGGACTGTTGGGATCAAGGTTGAACAGACTTTCTATAATGTCAGGCCTTGCCCTTTTGTCAAGATGAATGTTTCTGTGACACTTTGCCCTTGTGTTTTAGCATTAGTAGTTCCCTGGGGACAATTCATTGTGGGACAGGACAAGAGCAAGAGTGTTGCAACATGGTGTAGTTCCTCAAGCACTCTTGGGGGTCAGACACCCTTTTTCCACACTGGCCATGTCTTGTGCATAACAGGGTGTAAGGCAGCTCACATTGCTCACATGCTGAGCTTTCTGGGGCCTCCTCACACACATCTGTTTTGTTGAAGTGCTGCTCAGCACCAGTGTCTCCAGGACTCCAGAGGGTCATGGTGGTAAAGCTCCTCCCTCAATATCACATGGGCTTGCCACCTCCCATCCTTACACCAGCCAACCAGCCACACAATGGCTTAATAAGCCTCAATCCTTGCTAGCACATTAAACCTTTAGCCAGATTAACACAGACAAATTGCCACTAGAGCCCAGATATTTCAGCTCCATCCAGGGTGAATGACTGTGTGCTTGGCTGTGCTGGTATCACGATTTGTTTCAAGATGGGCAACTAAACCAATGACAATGATGCTCTTGATTCCCTCCCACCCAGGTAGGTCAGGGAGAGAGATAAGAAGGAGAGAGACTTCCCAGACTGAAAACTAAACTAGACAGCTTTAATTAAATACTAATGATAAAAGAAAATATGACAGACAAATGTGTTCAGGAACGTGCAAAACCCCTATTGCCTTCCCCCACCCTCGGCAGTTCCCACAGTGCTCTCCTGAGCTTTGAGCACTCCCTAAATGTCCTGGACCACCCCACTGGAGATAGCAGCAGATCAGAGAGGAGCTGAGGGGAGAGTTATGAGGGTCAGGAATGCATGAGCCTAGGGATCAATGGTGATGGATAGATGGAGTCCCCCTGGGCCACTGGCCATGAACAGAAGACAAGAAGAAGCAGGAAGGAAGGGGCTTGACTTCCATGATCCCTGATTTTACATCAAGTCACATGTATATATATGTTGGAATATCTCTGGCTGATTTTTCTGTCTGTTTAGTCTGCTCCTCCCTACAAGAGGGCTGCAGATATGACTCTTCTGCTCCTTTAGTGTCTGAGGCTGCAGATTCAACAAGCAGAGCAAAGTGTCATTGATCTCTCAGCTGTAACATAAACATTCCAGTGTTATCAGTCCACTCACTGGAAAACTTGCTGCTAGTTAAAAGAGAGCTCACTAAAGGAAAAAAAAAACAAACAAACAACAGTAAAAGGAAAATTTGCTTCATCCTGGCTAAAACCAGAACAGCTAGTTCTGGTGTTAACCTGAGCAAAGCCAATTGAAGTCCATCACTGTCAAGTACTTAGACCATTAGCACCACCCTATAAATGCAGATGAGAAATCAGGTTACTCCCAAGGGCTTTTCAGTCTGGCATCCCCACTGGGACAGACAGACAGACAGAATAACTAACTTTCTCTGGGGACTAAGGAAAGTTTCTGCTCTTCACTGTAGTGACATGCTGGGTGGTTACTGGATTTTCTTCCTGCCTCTGGCCATGGATTTGTTCACACTTGCAGTGTGATGATTGATACCTCTTGTAATTCTATTCCTCTTTGGTGTAACTGCAGATGTTACACATCTAATCCATTTCTTTATCTTCCTAAGCTCCTTGCTTCAGCAAGATGCTCCCACCATCTGCTCTAACAAGCTCTCAGGCTCTCATAAACCATAAATTCCATTTTTAAGCCTTTCAGTCCCTTTCTCTCCTTTCCAGGCCTGGATCAGCCATTTCCCTCCTGCTATGTCTTGCCCACATCTACAGATGAAGCTGGCATTTCTTTATGTAAATTCTCCATCTCTGCTTGCAACATTGGGCAGGACAGGCTGAAATAATGTTGCTCTCTAGGTTGGACAGGGCAGCTACACCATCATTATACCTTGGTGCTCTACAGCAGGCAGTGTGCCAAATACAGCACAGAGAAGAAAAAGAGGGTAGAGGTTTTCTCTTGGTATCTAGGAATGGAAAAGCCTTGAAAGAGGGAACAACCAGGCACTCACTCATAAGTGATCAAGACACTGTGATCTCTGCATATGACAGGCTCATGTTTTGTAGCCTGGTGTAGTGGCTGTTTATTTTGTAGTGGATCTTATTTCATATTAAACTGCCTTGGATTACCCAGGCAAGCACTGCAGGAATTTCCTAAAGACTTGATAGCTTCCTAGAATGCACAAATTTGACAGCTTGTAGTTGTCTGATTGCACTGGGAAGCAGCAAAGTGTTGCTACTCTAACTAAAGCTGTGCAAATTAATGAGACTTTGATTACAGGCTGGTGCATCTCAGCTTTGGGTGCCCAGACACATACATGTACAAGGGACTCACTAAGAGGGACTGGATTAGCCATTTCTCCTTAGCATTACTCCCTTTGGGATGTGGTGGTGTGGGCTAAAGCTCCTTTCCCATGAAGACAGGTTGAGAGAGCTGGGGCTGTACAGCCTGGAGAAGAGAAGGATCCAGGGAGACCTTATAGTGTCCTTCTAGTAACTGAAGAGACCACAGGAAAGAAGAGAAGGGACTTTTTACTAGGGATTGTAGTGAGAGGATAAGGGGTAATGGATTAAAACTGAAAGAGGGGAGATTTAGAAGAGATATTAGGAGGAAATTGTTTAGTGTGAGGGTAGTGAGACAGTGGAAAAAGTTGCCCAGGGAAGTCATGGCTGCCCCATTCTTGGAAGTGTTCAAGGCCAGGTCGGATGGGGCTTGGAGCAACCTGGTCTAGTGGAAGGTCCCTGGAAGTCCTGGTTCTAGTGGAAGCCCACACAGGGCTTGAAACCAGAGGATCTTAAATATCCCTTCCTACTCTAGCCATTCTATGTATCTGTGATTTATGATTCAGTTGTTTCTTAGGAGCTAGATTCATCTGTAATAAATATTCCATCCCCTTCTAAGCTAAAACAAATTGTATTTTTAACAGCCCAGACTCTGTAGTTTGCCATGTGTCTTGCTGGAGGTAGCTGGAGCTTTGCTGTCTGTACAATGGTGTGTTGGCTTTTGGGGAGGCAAGGAATCATGTTCAGTTTTACTTTATTCATTTCTTATGTCATGGCAGTGAGACTGGAATTAGTCCCTGGATGGGACACGATTGCTTTCCTGCTTCCTGATTAATGGAGCACCAGAGACAGCTTCCTTAGGTCCTGAAGGCTGAAAATCTGTAGTGTGAACGGGGGAGATAGGAAAGGATGGTGTGTAAAAGAAATCCTTCCTCACCTGTTTATCTGAGCCTCACTGATAATGTTCTTTCAAGGTCCCTGTAATAGGCTGAGGCCCAGGGAGATGCAAAAGCTTCATCATCAGCTGAAGTGAAGCGTGAAGTGAGAAGGTTGAGAAGCATGAGAGGACTCCATCTGGGGCTGGGAAACCCATGTGCTGACTTGATGTGCTGTCTCCTTTCTCCCCAGGATTGCCCCCAGCTGCTGCAGGCAGAGAAGATCCTGGTGCCTGTGGAAGTTATCAAACCCATCACGCTGAAGGCCAAGAACCTGCCCCAGCCACAGTCGGGCCAGCGAGGCTACGAGTGCATCTTGAACATCCAGGGCAATGAGCAGAGGGTGCCTGCCCTGAGGTTCAACAGCTCCAGTGTACAGTGCCAGAACACTTCGGTGAGCAAGC